ATCCACACTCTGGGGTCAGTGGGCAAAACTCCACCACCCCACTGGCCCACGAGGAAACCAGCCCGTCGGCTTGAGGGTGGACCTTGCTACAGGAGCAGGCCTAGGGGTGGGAGTTCCGGAGGGAACCCTGGCAGCTCGATTTTTCATCGTGGAGGGGCAGCAACAGTTTGGGGATTTGGGCCTGATGGAGTGGAAGATGGGGTGTGAGTGGACACAGGTGCCTGGCAGTGTCCTGGGCCTGGCAGTGTGGGGCTGGACCTACTCATGGGCCCCCGGAGGCCTGCTGGAGATCTGCAGTGACCCGACCCTATTGGTCCATCCTGACTCTTCCTGGGGCAGCTATGGGGGAGGCCATGTGTGGTGGAAAGACCCGATTCAGCTACAGACTGCCCCTGGGCCAGAGAACCCCAGCTTCTCCAGCTCCCCCGTCCACAAGGCAGCTGGTGGGGCCTTGTTTCTTGGGGCAGTTCTGGAGCTGAGCTGGCCTCTGGTCACTGCCCACCTCTGGGGGGAGCAGAACCTGTAGTGCCCAGGCCTCCGTCCTGCCTGCTAGGAACCCTCTGGCTTCTGCCTCCTCCCCAGCTGGCCTCTGGGCTCTGGCCTGACTCTACTCGTCCTTGCTAAGCCTCTGCCTGTGGCCAGCAGCCTCCTCCTTGGACAGAAGCACAGGCTCCCACCCCCTCACCCACCCCACATGGCAGGCTGGTCGATGTCTACCCGGCCAGCCTTAGAACATGGCCACTGCCTTCTCTGGGTCCCCAGACTTGCTCAGGCCTGAGGGAGGCATTTCCAGAGTCCACCCCATCCTGGCCCCCGCCCTGCATTCCCTCTGTCCAGCTACAAGCTGCTCACAGCAGGGCAGGCAAACCTCAGCCTAACCCCAGATTCCAGGCTTGGGGCTGGCTGCCGGCTGCAGAGATAAATCGAGGAAGTGTCCCCTGACCCTGGCCCCGGCCAACCCCCTGTGGCGGCAGGCGAGGGAAAGGAGAGACCCCAGAGGCCTGTTTGCTGTCCCAGCTGGGCTCCCGGCATGCCCCTTCCTCTGCCCTGGCTCCAGCCCCATCAGATCTGAGGACGACTCCCTGCTCAGGATGTGGAGCCTGTCAGGCACTCAGGCCTGGGGGAGGAGGGGACGGAGATGGGGACAGACAGCCACTGTTCTGTGAGGGGGATGTGACTTCCAACCCCCAGTTTCTCAGGGAGCGTCCTGGGGGCAGCAGGGGCTCCCAGGTGTACCTCTTGCCCTCCTCAGCCTGGCCTGGGGGCTCACCATGACTGGCCCTTCAGTCATCTTGCCGAGAGGGGACCTCTGTGAGGGGTGAATCAGCCCCTTCTCGGTGGCATTACGGAGGACCCCCAGAGGGAAGGGGCTGAGCAGCTGGCCTGGACTACCCTCAGCTGCCGCTGGAGCCCTGTGGGCCTGTGCTGCCCGGCTGGCAGGGAAGCCCAGTGGTGCTGGGCTGGTGCTGGTGTTGGCAAAAAGAACCCAGCCCGCCCAGGGGCCCTGGTCCTTTCTCCACCCCTACTCCATTCCCTGACTAGTGAGGCCCACCTCTGACCTTGGGCTTCTCAAAACGGCTTCCTGGACAACTGGCTAGCCAGAAGGTGTCCCCTAAGCCCCTGGGGCCTGGGACTTGACTTCTGCCCTGCAGCCAGCTCCCTGGGCGTGCCTGCCATGAGGGGAAGAGCAAGGGAGCCCCGTGCCAGCTGGCTGTGGGGCCTGGGAGGGGGTGCAGGGCTCCTCTTTACTGCAGCTTCCTGTGGTCTTGGGGGACCCAGTCTCTGGGAGGATACCTCCCTCTCTGGTAGTCCTGGTCTTGGGGCTTATGCACTGACAGTGTGGACCCTGGCTCTGTGTCCAGCTGGGCCTGGTGTAGTACTCTGTGTCCCCCAGGTCTTCAGCAGATGTGAGAGCTGGCCTGGGGGGACCAGGGGGTGAGAGCTGGCCTAGGGGGGGCCAGGGGGTGAGAGCTGGCCTAGGGGAGGCCAGGGGGGTCAGCTTTCCAGGCCGCAGTCAGATGCTGGGCTGAGGAAAGCCTTGGGTTCCCTTGGGCTGGGCAGGGGTTGCCTTCACGCGACCCCCGGAGCTTGGGTGGTCTCTGGTAGTCCTGGTCTTGGGGCTTATGCACTGACAGTGTGGACCCTGGCTCTGTGTCCAGCTGGGCCTGGTGTAGTACTCTGTGTCCCCCAGGTCTTCAGCAGATGTGAGAGCTGGCCTGGGGGGACCAGGGGGTGAGAGCTGGCCTAGGGGGGGCCAGGGGGTGAGAGCTGGCCTAGGGGGGTCCAGGGGGTGAGAGCTGGCCTAGGGGGGGCCAGGGGGTGAGAGCTGGCCTAGGGGGGGCCAGTGTGGTCAGCTTTCCAGGCCGCAGTCAGATGCTGGGCTGAGGAAAGCCTTGGGTTCCCTTGGGCTGGGCAGGGGTTGCCTTCACGCGACCCCCGAAGTCTGGGTGGGCTCAGCAACCGAAGGGCCTCCATCTCCTGGAACCAGGGCCTCGTGTCAAAAGGAAGGGAAGGGGGCAGGGGTGGGGTAAGCAGCCCCTCTCACTGCGTCCCCCCCCAGGCTGAGCCAGGAAAGGTCTGCCCTCTTCTGAGGCCCCTGGAGGACCTGGGGAGGAAGAAGGACCCAAATCGGGGGGGTAGTGGGGCAGGGGGCTGGGGTCACTTCCGCTTGACCCCCCCAGAAGCCCCACCTCAGTGGCCAAATGCATGTCATGCTGACCACTGACCTCAAGGGGGCGCAGGAGACAACAAAATATCTTCCTGTTTGGGAGGCAGTCTGGCTGTGGCTGAACCTCCAGGGTGAGCTGGCTCAGCGGGGCTCCCTGTCCCACCCCCACTCCCCACAGCCCTGCCCAGGCCCACCCGCCACCTTGGCTCCCTGGCCCCTGAGCAGCTCCTGATAAGCATCCCCACCCTCTGGCCTCAGCCTTCTCCCAGCCCCTCCCCTCCTCCCCTCCCCCTCCCCTCCCCTCCCCCCCCCTCCCTGGCCCCTGGCACTCTCCTCTCTGGGCCTGGGAGGGGAAGAGCCTCAGCCCCCTAGACGAGGGCAGGCAGCCCTGGCCAGTCTGTGCATTTGGAGGAAGTTCCAGGGCAACTGCTCTGGGGTGGACCTGGGTGTGGGAAGGAGGACCCACATCTGAGGCTCAAGGGGCTTTACTTAGTTAGGTCCCAGGCCACAAAGGGCAGCAGGTGGCTTTAGGAAAGGCCTGGAAGGGAGGCAAGGCCACTGCTCAGGAGCCTGGGAGGGGGACGGAGGATGCAGTGGAGACAGGGGATGAAGGACATGGAGTGGGGGGTAGGACACTGAATAACAGAGGCAAATGGGGGTGCAGACAGGCAGGTGGCAGCCCAAGGTCCTGGGCCGGAGGATTCCAGGGTCATCAGGAGTAGAATGGGGGCAAGGAGGCCCGGCATTAGGCAGGAGCCTGAGCAGAGATGGGCTCTCCAGAGGAGGCTGAGGGCAGCTGTCCAGGCACGGCTAGAGAAGTCCTCCTGGGCCTGTGGCTGACGGGTACAAGGAGACAGAAAGACCTCCAGCCTCCCCCTCCAGCACTCGGGAGCCACGCAAGATGGCTGAGCAAGGGCCACCCAGCCAGGAGCTGCCTGGGAAGGTGAAAGGTCACTCCAGGGCATCTGTCCCACCAGGCACCAGGAAAGGGTCCCAGGGCACACTCCCCAGGCTGGCCTGTCCAGTGGGAGCCAGCTCACCCACCACCACTGACCTTGGTGCATCCTTCTGCAGGAAACTTCCTGAGACTCTAGGCAAATGTCCCTTCCTCTGGACTGGCAGCCTTCCCAAGGGGACCCCCCCGGAGGCTGCCAACACCAGGGACCAGGGAGGACTGGGCTGCCTTGGATGGGTCAGTATGGTAGGCCTTTTTTCCCTTCCAGCCTGGGTGCTGGGACTCAATGTGGAAAGAAACTCTGGTGGGAGGTGAAAGGGTAAGAAGTAGGGAGCAGACTCAGGTGCCAAAGTCGCAAATGTGTTAAGGGAAGAGTTGAACAGAAAGTCCTTTGCATTTGATAAAGTTGAGGTTCTTTTCTCCTGGCACTGGGGAGCCATGGAAGGTTGCACAGCAAGAGCAGGAGCCACACTGCCAGCAGGGAGCCCATTGGAGGAACTTGTGGGACCAGAGATGGTCAGCCTTAGGGAGGACTCAGACTCCCCCACCAGCCTACTCTGACCAGCTTCCTGCCCTTCTCAGAAGGACTGCCCTAAGCAGATGTTGCCTAGCTGGTCGGTGGAGCCCACCTCGACATGGTGCTCCAGCCTTGGCCCTGGCACCAGGAACCCTCGGGGAGAAAAGCCCAGGCTGAGGGCTCCAGTGGACAGAGCTCTCTGGAGGGGTCCAGCCCTGCCCCCAGGTGCCTCTCCCTCCCGCCTCAGTTTCCCACGTGCTCCGGCTCTTGGCCTGCCAGGAGGTACGGTCCTAGGATCTCAGCACTGCACGGGCGGCAGGAGAGTGTCCCCGACAGGTGAGGCTCCTGGGGTCCTCAGCCTGGGCGGGGGCTTTTCTCTGAGTGGATCGGTCAGCACAGCCCAGAGTGGGCAGTAGGACTGCGGGGTCCAGGCCTCATCTCGGGGGTTTCCTGTGGGGAGGGGCCGAGGGCCAGGACTGGGCCTGGAGGGTGGACAGGAGGGGCCGGCAGAGGCCCAGTGAGCAGACTTGGCAGGCTTCCCTGCTGGCCATGGGGCTGGGGCTGGGACGGGGCCCTTTTCGTGGAAGAGGATCGAAGCCGCCCTGTTGGGTTTGTTTGCCTCTGACCTTTGCCTGGGCTTGTGCAAGGCCCTCTCGGTGGCCTTCACCTTTGTCTGGGGGACATGGCTCACGGGAGACCCTGCTGCAGTGGCGGGAGCAGCTGGGGGGGCACTCTGAGCCCCTCACTGGGCTGTGGTGGGGGAAGCGGCAGGGCAGCCACCACCTGCCACTGTCAGTCAGCCCAGCGGGCCCCGGCGGGGTGGGCAGCGAGGGGCGGGGCACCGGCAGGCCTGGGTGGATTTCCTGGCCGGCTTAGCTCCTGGGGCCTGGGCCTGGGGCCTGGCCCTGCGTGTCTGTGGGCTGGGTGGGGAGACCCGCAGGCCTGGGTATGTCAGTGCCCTGAAGGAGGGCCAGTGAGGGTCCTCTGCTAGCCAACGCAGGCTCCCTCAGATCCGCATCCTCCTCTGGCAGGATTTGGCTGTGGAAAAGGCCCGAGGCTCTGGGGGCCAGCTAGAGACCCAAGGTGAGGGTGAGGCCGGTGGGGCGAGGCCCAGAGGGGGCGGTGAGGCAGGAGTGGTGGGGCCCGGGGCTCCAGAGAGGCCATCTTGGGAGAAGGCTGGGACACGGGGTCATCTGGAAGGTCCTCTTGGGAGGCCACCTGTGGCATCATGTCAATCCCAGGCTTCTCTGGGGGCCCCTCTGGGCAAGGGCAGCCTGGAGGCCCCTGGATGCATGCAGTTTCCACCAAGGCCACCAGGTTGAGGCCCAGATTCTTGGCCTCCCCGCCCCTGGCCTGCTGCTTCCTGGGCACTCTTGGGCATGCATGGGCCATTCTCTGGGGACGTCCCTGAGTTGCCCGTCACCCCTGAGAGGTGGCAGGTGTGGCCCCTGAACAAGGGGGAAACTGAGACTTCCCTCATCACGGCCCACAGATGCACCAGTCCTTGGCACAGCGTGTGACACACAGTGAGTGCATAGCCATGAGGTGGAAGCTGTGAGAGCCCAGGAGACCTCAGATGCCACCCAGCACAGAGCCTGGCCCGAGGGGTAAGTGAGTCCCCAGCAACACGTGGCCAGGCTCCTGCCACTGCCCCTGAGCACTGTCTGCACTGCATGTGTCCCCAGGGCACCCAGCACAACCCAGGGCCTGACAGGGGGTGGTCCTCAAACCGCAGGAGAGGTGGCTAGTGCAGGGCAGGACACAGGGGGACACGGCCACACTCACACCCCACTCCCCTGACCACACTCCAAATCACACAGAGCATACTGCAGTGTCCTCGCTCTGAAGGCCCCAGCCTCCACCTCCACCCCCACACCCCACCCCCATGGTCTACACTCCACCCCCATGGTCTACCCTCCATCCGCCATGGTCTACACTCCATCTGCCATGGTCTACACTCCATCCGCCATAGTCTACACTTCACTCCAGGCCCACACTCCTCCTTCATGGTCTACACTCCATCTCCATGGTCTACACTCCAACCTCCATGTTCTACACTTCAACCTCCATGGTCTACACTCCAACCTCCATGTTCTACACTTCAACCTCCATGGTCTACACTCCATCTCCATGGTCTACACTCCATCCACCATGGTCTACACTCCACCTCCATGGTCTACACTCCACCTCCATGGTCTACACTCCATCCACCATGGTCTACNCCTCCATGGTCTACACTCCATCCACCATGGTCTACACTCCACCTCCATGGTCTACACTCCATCCACCATGGTCTACACTCCACCTCCATGGTCTATACTCCAACCTCCATGGTCTACACTCCACCCCAGGCCCACACTCCACCCTTCATGTCCACACTCCATCCATCACTCTCCATACGCCATCCTCCATTCTCTCCACTCCACTCTCCAGATTCCACACTTGTTGTCCATGCTCCACACTCAGCCCTCCAACCACACGACATCCTCAAAGTCCCACACCTGTCATTCAGATCCACACCCTCTCCATGCCACATGCCTGATTCTCCAGGCTCCACACTCCATTTCCAGGCTCCACACTCCACATTCCAGGCTCCACTCTGGCCTCCAGGCTTCACCCTCATCCTCTACGTCCACCCTCTTTCTTTAGGTTCCACACGCTGACTTCCAGCCGCATCCTCCGTTTTCCATGCTCCACTCTCTGTCCTCCATGCCCCACCCTCCACCCTCCAGGCTCCACACTCTATCCTTAGTGCCACACACCCCCACTCAATCTCTAGGCTCCACCCTGCACCCTCCGGGCTGCATACTCCATCCTCCACGATCCACACTCTGGCCTCCAGGTTTCTCACCGTCCTCCAGGCCTCCTGCTCCTTCCTTCAGTCTCCACTGCATTTCCAGGCTCAAAGCTCCACCCTCCAGGTCCCACCCCTCCTCCAGGCCTCCTGGTACATCCTTCAGGCCCTAAATTCTTTTTGATCATCTCAGAACACATCCTGCCTGCTCCACGTTCTGTCTTCCATCCTCACCACTCCACACTCTTCCCTCCTGCTCCACACTCCATCCTGGAGGCTCAACAATCTCCTCCATGCTCCACATTCCAGTCTTCAGTCTCTAAACTCCGTCCTGCAGGCTCCACACTCCGTCCTCTTTGCCCCACTTTGCCCCCCATGCTCCACACTCAGTCTTCCATGACCCATGCTCTGGCCTCCAGGTTTCTCACATCCTCCATGCCCCAGTTCGTCTTCAGCCTCCTCATTCTGACCTCCATACTCCACCCTCCATCTTCGCACACCACACTCTGTCTTCAGACCCACACCCCCTCCTCATATCCCAAGACATTTCCTCCATGATCTGCCTGCACCCTCCACACTGCACATTTCATCCTCCACGTCCACACTCTTTCCCCAGGTTCCTCACGTGCTCCATGCTCCATCCTTCAGCCTCCGCACTCCATCTTCCGTGCTCCAGGCTTTGCGATTCATCTTTCATCCTCTCCACCCTTTCTCCAGGTCCCACCACTCTGTCCCTCATGCTCCACACTCGGTCCTCCTCAGCCCACGCTTCATCCTCAGCGTCCCACACTCTCTCCTCCAGGCTCCACACCTTCTGCGTGCCCCAGATTCCATCCTCGGATGCCATGCTCCATCTTCCATGCACCACACTCCATTCTCCAGGTTTCAGGCTCTATGCTCCATGTTCCACACTCCATGTTCAGTGTCCCACACTCAGTCCTCTGGGAACAGACCTCCTCCATGCCTCACACTCCTCCCTCCATGCCCCACACTGTCCTCCATGCCACACATTGTTTTTCCATTTTGGGGGGTGGGGTACCAGAGATTGAACTCAGGGACACTCAACCACTGAGCCACATCCCCAGCCCTATTTTATATTTTATTAGAGACAGGGTCTCACTGAGTTGCTTAGGGCCTCGCCATTGCTGAGGCTGGCTTTGAACTTGCAATCCTCCTGTCTCAGCCTCCCGAGCTGCTGGGATTACAGGTGTGTGCCGCCACCCCGGGCTCCAGGCCCCACGTTGTAGTCCTGAATGCCTCACACTCATCTGCCAGACTCCACACACACCCTCCATGCCCCATTAACAGTCGCCACACTGTCCTCAATGCTCCACAGTCCACTGCTAGTGCTTTACACTCCCTCTTCCCTCCCTCCACTTCATTCTCCAGGTTCCACCCTCCATGCTCCGTGTCCTACACACCGGACTCCAGGCTGCACACTCAGACCTCCATGATGACGCTCCATCCGTCACGTCCCATTCTCTAACCGCCAGGTTCCACACCTTCCTCCATGCCCCAGATTCCGTCCTTCCCTCTTCACACTCCCTTCTCCCAGTGCACCCTCTATTCCCAGGCCCCACTCTCCTACTCCAGGGGTCACATTCAGACCTTTGTCCTCACTCCCTCCTCCATGCTCAACTCTCTGTCCCGCAGGTGCCACATTTCATTCTCCAGGCTCGCCCTCCCCTGCGTGCTCCACACTCTGCCTTCCATCCCCCACACTCCGGTGGCAGCTTCACACTCCATTCTTTGTGAACCACACTCCATCTTCCAGGCTCCAGGCTCCAAACTCCCTCCTGGAAGCTCCACACTCCATCCTCCAGGCTCCAGACTCTAAATTCCCTCCTGGAGGCTCCACACTCTGTCCTCCATGCTGCACACTCCATTCCCCTGGCTTGGCCTCCTGGCCCATGTGCCCCCAACTCTGGGAGGATAGGCCTCACACTGTCCTCCATAAGCACCTGCTGTCTTCCGAATGTCACACTCCATCCTCCCTGCCACACACCCTGTCCTCGAGGCGTCACCCTCCATCTTCCAGGTCCCACACCCCATCCTCCAGGTTCCACACGGTCCTCCATGGCCCAGGCCTGACCACAGTCTCCACACTCTGCTCTCTGGGTTCCACAAACCGTCGTCCATGCTCCCCACATGGTCCTTTATCCTTTCCACTTTCTCCTGGTTCTCCACGTGCCCTCCATGCTCCATCCTTCATCTTTCATGTCCCAAACCCTGCCCTCCAGGTTTCACCAAAGCCCTGCGCTCCTGCACACTCTCCACACTCTGTCCTCCATGCCCCAGACTCCATCCTTCAGTCTCAACCCTCCATTTCCCAGGCTCCGTCCTCCATCCTCCATACCCCACTTTCTGATCTCCAGGCTCTCCATCATTCTTCGTGCCCCACACTCCATCCTCCAGGCTCCAAATTCCTCCTGTCCTCCACGCTCTGTCCTCCATGCTCCACATTCTGCCCTTCAGTCTTCACATTGCGTCTCCGTGCTCCACATGACACCTTTAGCCTCACACTTAGTCTCATGCTTTGTTTTCCATGCCCCACAATTCATACCCTAGCCCCTACACGCCCTTCTCCAAGCTCCCCGCTCAGTCTTCCCTGATTCACCTCCATCCTCCACCCCCCAGACTCCATCCTTCATTCTCCACACTGCATTTTCCAGGCTCAACACCGTCCTCCAGACAGTGCACTGTATCCTCCAGGTTCTGCACCCTCCTGCATGCCTCATGCTCCATCCTCCACACCCCATCCTCTTCTCTCACAGTCAGCCCTGCATGACAGCCACTCCATCCTCCATGTCCCACGCTCCATCCTCCACGCTCCCTACTCAGTACTCCATGATCCACACTCCACACCCAATGCCTCACACTCAGTCCTTCAGGTAACGTCTCCTCTCCATGCCCCATTTTCCATACTCCATCCTTTATGTGTTGCACCCTGTCCTCAGTCTCTACACTCCATTCTCCATGTGCCACACTCTGTCCTCCAGGCTCTACACTGTATTCCGGCATGCTCCACATTCATGCTCCAGGCTCCACCCTCCATCCTCCAGTTTCCATACTCTCCACGCCCATGCTGGATCCTGCGGTCTCCAGTTCCATCCTCTATGCTCCACACTCTGTCTTCCAACCTCTCCGTTCCATTCTCTATGTTCCACACCCCATCCTCCATACCCCACACTTAGTCCTCCATGTCCTACCTCTGTCTTCAATGGCCCACACCAGTCTCCACACTCCATGTCCCACACTTGATCCTCTAGGCCACACACTCTGTTCTGCATGTTCCATAATCCATCGTCCATGCCACACACACCATCTTTCACCCTCTCCACTTCATTCTTCAGGTTCTGCACTCTGTCCACCGTGATCCACACTCCATTCTCCATGTACCAAACTTGGTCCTCCAGGTTCCACACCCTCATCCGAGCCCCGTGCTCCATCCACAGTCTCCACACCCTGTCCTCCATGCTCCATAATCCACCCTCCATGCACCCCACTTCACCTTTCATCCTTTCTGCTCCATTCTTATTTCACACTCCTTCCTTCATGCACAACAATCTGTCCTCCATGACTCACACCCTACACAATCCATCTTCAATGTCTCCCACTCCCTCCTCCAGGTTCTACACCATCCTCATGTGCCACCCACAGTCGTCACACCCTGTCCTCCATGCTCCACAATCTTCCATGGCCCACATTTCATCCTCTGGGCTCCCCAAACTCCAGGTTCCAGGCTGCACACTTAGCCCTGCATTCTGCACACTTCATCATCCATGTCTCATTCTCTGACCTCCAGGTTCTCCA